GGGGTTAGTTATATCCTACTGCTCAAGGTCATCATCAAGGTCTGATTTTTCACAAAAAAATTTGCAACCTCCAGCATAAATGGGTTTACATCTTCCTCATTTATAAGGTCTCTTCAAGCTGGCACATTTAGTCATCTTTGACTCCTTCCCATCATATAATTAGTGACTAAATCCTGCCTATAGTCTACATCTAAAATTTCTAATTTACCCTGTCCTCTCCTCTCTCCATCTCACTTCCATTTTCAGATATAAGACCAAAGGCCCTGCTACTTCTGACCTAGACAATTCAGCCTTTCTTGAGTACCCATTACATACCACACACAGTGAAAGGAATTAGAATATGAGGACTAATAAAGCAAAGTAATACCATTACACCTATCTTGGGAGAGAGAAATGGAAGAATAAAGTACAACACGATAAATATTACAATTAGAGCAAAACCTACAAGATGTCAACTTTCCTATTTGATCTAATCTTACAATACAACCTGAATTCTCTTTCTGGAATATAAACTAGATTATGTCACCGTGTTGTAAGACCTCTGATGATTCGACCCCATTGCCTACAGGATAAAGTCCAAATGCTTTAATATATGCAAACACTTCACAATTTCATCCCAACTTACCTAAAACCTTCATTCTATTACTTTACTTTCACTTCACATCCTATGACCCAGTCACGTATAACTAAATGCTGCTGTGATATGCTGGGCACTTGCATAATATCTAGTGATTGTGTATCCTGCACAAGTTCTTCTTCCTTATGTCTACCAGCAGAAATCCTGTCCTATCATCAAATCAAACCTCCTCTTTGAAGCCTTTATTAACCTTCTCTGCCAACGTAGTTTCTATACAATCTGGTTTTTTGTTTGTTTGAGACAGGGTCTCACTCTGTCACCCAGGCTGGAGTGCAGTGATGTGATCTTGGCTCATGGTAGCATCAGGCTCCCAGGCTCAAGCCATCCTCCCATCTCAGCTTCCCAAGTAGCTAGGACTACAGATGCATATCACCATACCCAGCTAATTTTTGTATTTTTTATAGAGATGAAGTTTTGCCACGTTGCTCACACTGGTATTGAAATCCTGAGCTCAAGTGATCTGCCTGCCTTGGTCTCACAAAGTGCTGGGATTACAGGCATAAGCCACTACACCCAGCCCACAATCTGCTGTATTATCACTTTGTATTGCAACTTGTTTTTTTCTATCTACCACTAGACTGTGGTATTTGTAGGGACAATAACTATATCTTGTTATTTCTATCCTTCCCAGAGTCTAGTATCAGTAAATATTCAAGAAATAGTTGTTAAATGTATAATGGGGGCTGGGTGCAGTGGCTCACATCTGTAATCCCAGCACTTTGGGATGCTGAGGTGGGTGGATCACCTGAGGTCAGGAGTTCAAGACCAGCCTGGCCAACATGGTAAAACCCCGCCTCAACTAAAAATAAAAAATTAGATGGGCATGGTGGCACACACCTGTAATCCCAGCTACTTGGGAAGCTGGGACAGGAAACTATCACTTGAACCTGGGAGGCAGAGGTTGCAGTAAGCTGAGATTGTGCCAACACACTCTAGCCTGGGAAAAAAGGGTGAAACTCCACCTAAACAAAACAAACAAACAAACAAACAAAAAAGCTGTATAATAGGGTGGAAACATTTGCAGAGAACCAAAATGCACTATCGTTACTTTTTTTTTTTTTTGCTGTTTGGAATCAATAGGTCTACTATGTGCCACCACCCCCACATAAACCTGGAGCCCAAAGGAAAGTATGCTTTATTTCCCCCCTCTTCCTATTCATCAGCTTTTTATCCTTCCATCTCATAAATAACAGTAAACAAGACAGAAAGAACCCCTGCCCTCTAAAGGGCTTATATTCAAGTAAGGAGAGGCAATTAATAGGGAAACGTACATATATATGGTCATTTCAGATAGTGATGAATGCAATGAATAAAATAAAGTAGTTTGACAAGACAGAATGTGCTACAGAGAAACGTGCTATTTTAAATGGGAATGAGGAAGAAGTGATAGAATGTTTCTCTGAGAAGGTAAGACATAAGCTGAGGCCTAAAGGATGAGAAACAACCCACTATGCAAAATTTTAGGGAAATAATTCTGCAAGCAGAAGGAATTGCAAGTGTAAAGTCTCTGAAGCAGAAATGCACATGGTTGGTCAGGCATGGCGGCTCACATCTGTAATCCCAACACTTTGGGAGGCTGAGGCAGGAAAATTGCTTGAGGCCAGGAGTTCGAGACCAGGCTGTGAAACATCAGCTCTACAAAACATTTAAAAATAAAAAAATAAGCTGGGTGTGTTCTTATGCACCAGCTATTAAGTAGGCTGAAGTAGGAGGATCGCTTGAGTCCAGGGGCTGGAGGCTGCGTGAGCTATGATCATGCCACTGCACTCCAGTACGGGCAACAGAGCAAGACCCTGTCTCAAAAAAAAAAAAAAAAAAAAGAGACAATAAGAAGAAATGCACTTGGCTGTTTGAGAGACTGTGTGTCTAAGAAAGGAAATTAGTTTAGAGAAGCAGGGCCTTGTAGGTGGTAGCCATGATGGAGGCCTGACTGCACCTGCCTTGACTTTGGAATTTTGTAGGTTACAATCTTCTCCTCGGTAATATTAGAGCAATAAAATGACAGAATGCAGTATGCAGCCCGCTCTATTGTTAGGAAGAGGCCAAACAATTCTGAAAGTATCTTTTCTAGATACAAGGCCATAACGGTATGGTCCCAGGGCTAATGAAAACTTGACAAGCAGAGAAGAGTAAAAGCACCTGAAAAGAAAGACAAGTTCTTCTGACTACAAGCAAGTCCAAATGAGAAACATCAAAATTATCTCAGATTCAAAGAGGAAACAAAACACAATACTACTCTGAAAATACATATGGGCTATAAATGTATGCTTTTAACTGAATGAATTTTTCCATTCCCATGTAAACTTATAATACAAATCTAGACTAAAGTGATTAAACAGATTTCCACTTTTAATTCACCAAGGTTTTTCTTCACTTTCACAGAAATGAAACAATTGTCTGATGTTTTGAGATTTCAAAGATTTAGATGCATTAGAAACTGCCTCTTAGCAATCATTTTGTGGATGTTTATGTCATAATTATTTAATCCATCCAAGTAGTACTGTGATGTTAAAGTCAATCTATGACATGAAGAAATATTCACAAAACTATTCATTAAAGCAACTCTGTAATTGCTAGAAAGTAAAGCAGTATGAAATTACACATCTTACTCCTATTATAAGTAGCATCTGCTGGCTTTGCTAACCTGAACACAATTCTGAATATAAAGACCCTTTCATTACCCTAATTAAATCCTGAATCTCCAGGTTACCAGCCTTCTAACAGTAAAAATAAATCCATTCTCATCATTCTTAAATTCAAATGGTCTCTGACTAGTATGGTGATGTTTCTCCAAGGTTCTCTATGAGGGATCAGAGGTAAGATTTTGTCCATGTTCTCTATGAAGGACCATCACAAATAGCAGAAGTGGTCAGGCGCAGTGGCTCATGCCTGTAATCCCAGCACTTTGGGAGGCCGAGGCAGGTGGATCACTTGAGGCCAGGAGTTCGAGACCAGCCTGGCCAACATGGCAAGAGCCCGTCTCCATAAAAATACAAAAAATAATAATAATAATAAGCTGGGCATGGTGGCACATGCCTGTAGTCCCAGCTACTCTGGAGGTTAAGGCAAAAGAATCACTTCAACCTGGGAGGTGGAGGTTGCAGTGAGCTGAGATGGCATCACTGCACTCCAGCCTGGGTGACAGAGCGACACTCCATCTCAAAAAACAAAAAAAGGAAGAGAGGTAAAAACATAATTACATTATGTTCCCACCCTCCCACCATTCCCCACAAGAGCCAAAGTTTCTTAAAATGAGTCTTCATATTAATCCACAGTCTCAAGAGCTATGAAGAAAAAGAAAATACTTTAGCCTCAAAGATGACCCTTCCACATTCTCCAAGCTAATCTCCAACTTCATATACATATATATTTTTTTGTTTGTTTGTTTGTTTGTTTTTGAGACAGTCTTGCTCTGTCGCCCAGGCTGGGGTGTAGTGGCCGGATCTCAGCTCACTGCAAGCTCCGCCTCCCGGGTTTATGCCATTCTCCTGCCTCAGCCTCCGGAGTAGCTGGGACTACAGGTGCCCACCACCTCGCCCGGCTAGTTTTTTGTGTCTTTTAGTAGAGATGGGGTTTCACCATGTTAGCCAGGATGGTCTCGATCTCCTGACCTCGTGATCCGCCCTGTCTCGGCCTCCCAAAGTGCTGGGATTACAGGCTTGAGCCACCGCGCCCGGCCTAACTTCATATATTTATACGGCCTTCTGTTTTCTCTATCTCACTCACCAAGGGAGAGCCATTAAAAAGTATATAAATGGCTGGGCGCAGTGGCTCACTCCTGTAATCCCAGCACTTTGGGAGGCCGAGGCGGGCAGGTCACGAGGTCAGGAGATCAAGACCATCCTGGCTAACCCCATCTCTAATAAAATACAAAAAAAAATTAGCCAGACGTGGTGGCGGACGCCTGTAGTCCCAGCTACCTGGGAGGCTGAGGCAGGAGAATGGCGTGAACCCGGGAGGCAGAGTCTGAATTAAACCAAGCCTTATGCCCTTCTTAAAGGACCAACAGCATCTGCATCACCTGGAGTTTGCAAAAATATGCAGAATCTGGGGCTCCACCTCAGACCTCCTAAATCAGAGTCTGCACTTTACTGATACCTGTATGCAACTCTATGTTCATCAGAAAATCTCAGAACTGGTAGAAAATTTAAAAGCCCATTGCACACACATAAAGACAGATGAGCCCTGGATAACAAATAATTGATAATGACCATAGTGCCCCTTCATAAATTATTTCCTATAACAATAGGTTCTCCTTAAGAAACTTTTCTTGCAAAACTACAAATGGCTTGTCTTGAAACACACCAAGGCTTATTATAGGTATTGTTGTTAGTAGAAGTCACTGACATAACCAAGTTCTTACCTAATCTGAGCTCTCCGAAGTTCCCACACCCTATCTTCTTGCCAACCCTGAAGTTGGGTCCCACCATAAGAACCCCAGAGGATGACGAGGAGCCAGATGGTCGAGAGCAGTGTGCACTCCTTTGTGCCATGGGTTTAGTTGTCCGTTGTCTTTCATCCTTTTCCCTACTAGGATGGTCCATGATCCTACAGGACAAAGTCTCCGTACAGCAAGTAGCTTCAGTGTGTATACCTCTCTTCAATACAAAAGTATGTCCAAATAAATTGTAGTCAGAGAAAGGTAAGGAGTTCTTTTAGCACCATATTTGTTTCTAATGTATCTCCGGGAGATGAAAAACCATTGATTTGTTCCCGTATGAAATGTAGTCACTAGGTCTCAGGCTTAGTTGAACATCTTGTAACCTAGGTAAAAATCAAGAAAACACGTAGTTAAAAATTAAATTTTAAAACAAATTCAGAAAGTCTCTACTAATTAGAATGAATCCTATCCAAAGGTGAGCAAAATGCATAGCTTCCTGAAATGGGTTTTGGTTTTCTATCCTCCAACAGTTTAACATCTAGATTAGTTATTCACATGGTATCATAAGCTCAGGAGGCTGCAAACCATAGAAGCTAAGGAAACACACAAGCCTTAAATATAAAATGCTTTCTTCTAGTAATGTACATATGACCAAAAAGAAAGACAATTGTTGTTTTTTTCATCACTGGCTAACAGAAATACATAGCAGTGCTGAAACCAAGTTAAAGAAACTGAGGACGATTTAACTTTAAGCTCTTCCTTTTAATTTTACCAAGACTTATAAGAAATTAGACTATTCACTGCCCCATTCCCCTATCCCCACCATTTACCAAGTACCGACAAGAATTATGTATTCTACATTTACCAATCAACACAGACAACCTCTATGAAGGAATTTCCAAAACTCTATTGGTATTAAGTAGTCCTAAAATTCTGAAAAGCTAAACTTTTGGTGGTTTTTGCTGTATACTGAGTATGCAATGACAGAGCGCCAAAAAGAGATCCTTTGCAGAACCCCAAAGTGAAAATAAAGCAAAAAAACAAAAACAAAAACAAAAAATCTTAAACATAACATTCATCTCTACCAGAATTCTGCAGTGTCCAAATTCAGGACTGAGCCCAGCACAAATGTTTGCAATGAGATAATTTTGATGCTATATTTGATTATCCATGTGAGTATTCTTAACAAAAAAAAAAAAATACTGTTACCACTAGTCACATACTAAACACACATTTATATTTCACTTTCATAAATGTTTTCCTTAAAACTTAAGGGAAGAGAAGGCTGGGTGTGGTGGTTCACGCCTGTAATCCCAGCACTTTGGGAGGCCAAGGCAGGCAGATCACCTGAGGTCAGGAGTTTGAGACTACCTGGCCAACATGGCAAAACCCTATCTCTACTAAAAATATAAAAATTAGCTGGACGTGGTGGCAGGCACCTGTGATCCCAGCTACTCGGGAGGCTGAGGCAGGAGAACAGCTAGAACCCAGGAGGCGGAGGTTGCAGTGAGCCAAGCTCGTGCTACTCCCACGAGTGACAGAGTGACATTCCGAGAAAAGGAAAGAAAGAAGGAAGGGAGGGAGGGAGCAAGGAAGGAAAAAGAAAGACAGAAAACTTAAGAGAATTAGAACAAATGTTTGGTTATCATCACTAGTTACACAACAGAGCAAAGATGCCTACACTCTAAACTTCCTGAGGATACCTGTAATTCCCTACTAAAGTAACAGGCCAAAAGCTGTCAGCTGACTGTACAAGTGGGCACATAACCCAATAATACAATCTGTTTGCTTTATTTATTTACTTTTGACATGGAGTTTCACTCTTGTTGCCAAGGCTGAGTGCAATGGCGAGATCTAGGCTCGCTGCAACCTCCACCTTCCAAGTTCACGCGATTCTCCTGTCTCAGCCTCCGAAGTAGCTAGAATTACAGATGCCTGCCACCACACCCAGCTAATTTTTTGTATTTTTAGTAAAGATGGGGTTTCACTATGTTGGCCGGGCTGGTCTCGAACTCCTGACCTCAGGTGATCCACCCATTTGGCCTCCCAAAGTGCTGGGATTACAGGCATCAGCCACCGTGCCTGGCTTCTGTTTGCTCTATTATAGTTTAAATAAACTGCTTATTTTCATTTTTTGTTTGTTTTGTTTTACAATAGATTTCCATTTATAATGTATATTCTATAAAGGAAAAAAAATCAAAGCAATGAAAGGAGGTCAGCAACTACTGAACTTCCTACATGAACAACATTAAGAATTCATATTTCCTTATTGTTTCTCCTATTTCCAACTATATCCACTATCCCCTGATTATCCTCGTCTTTAATCCAAATCCCTCAAATGATATTAGAAAGAGAAAAAAACATCATAATTACTGGGAGTATGTCTATGTGTGAGACTGCCAACTATATTTCCTTCCATTATAAATTAATATGAGGACAGAGGCAGAATGTGTCTTAGTCCAATTCAGTGAATTTATAAGTATTCAAGAACTCACAAATTTTCAAAAATTATCACTACGATAGCCTCATTTATAAGATTTGGAAACTGTATTACATTGTCTATTTCTCTTCACATTTTTCATTTTTGCTCACTCTGTTTCTTCCAACAAATGGATGTTATTTTTATAATACTTTGCATTAATTTCTTCCATTGCACTTAGACTAGTATAACATTAGGTGGACTAATCACACATAGCCCTCATTATCCATGTTTACTTACATGTATGTATTAGAAGAATTAGAATTCTAAAAACCTGTAGAAGCCAGGTGCAATGGTATATGCCTACAGTCCCCAGCTACTTGGGAGGCTGAGATGGGAGTACTGCTCAAGCCCAGGAGTTTAAGGCCGGAATGTGCTATTATCATGCCAGTAAATAGCTACTGAACTCCAGCCTGGGCAACACAGAAAGACCCTGTCTCTAAAAAATAAAAAATTAAAAAATTAAAAATTAAATTTAAAAAATATATATTAAAAATTAAATTAAAAAAAAAAAACCCTATAGAAAGCCAAAAACTGTCTGGGCGTGGTGGCTCGTCCATGTAATCCCAGCACTTTGGGAGGCCAAGGTAGAAGGATTACTTGAGCCTAGAAGTCTGAAATGAGCCTGGGCAACATAGGGAGACCCCATGTCTACAAAAAATTTAAAAATTAGGGCCAGGCACGGTGGCTCATGCCTATAATCCTGGCACTTTGGGAGGCCAAGGCGGGTGGATCACCGGAGGTCAGGAGTTCAAGACCAGCCTGGCCAACAAGGCGAAACTCCGTCTCTACTAAAAAAAAAAAATTAGCCAGGCGTGGTTGTGCCGGCCTGTAATCCCAGCTACTCGGGAGGCTGAGGCAGGAGAATTTCTTGGACCCAGGAGATGGAGGTTGCAGTGAGCCAAGATCGCGCCATTGCACTTCAGCCTGGGCGACAAGAGCAAAACCCCATCTTAAGGAATTAAAAAAAAAAAAATAGCTGGGCATGGTGGTGCACACCTGTGGTCCCAGTGACTTGGGGAGGCTGAAGTTGAAGGACTGCTTGAGCCTGGGAGGTTCAAGGATGCAGTGAGCCATGATTGTGTCACTGCACTCCAGTATGGATGACAGAGCAAGACCCTGTCAAAAAAAAAAAAAAAATAGTCAAAAATCTCACTCAGCTGGGGAAAAATGTTCATAACACCTACTTGTAGAACAGAACAATCACTTTACTTCCCACAACCATGACAAAAACTGACACTAAAGGTGCTGTGTCAATTTTCTAATCTATGCATGGGACATAAGCATTGCTCAATCTATAATTATGAAAGATGAGGCCGGGCACAGTGGCTCATGCCTAAAATCCCAGTACTTTGGGAAGCCGAGGTGGCCAGATCACCTGAGGTCAGGAGTTCAAAACCAGCCTGGCCAACATGGTGATGCCCTGTCTCTACTAAAAATACAAAAAAATATTAGCCAGACATCGTAGTGGGCACCTATAATCCCAGCTACTTGCGTGGCTGAGGCAGGAGAACCGCTTCACCTGGGAGGCGGAGGTGGCAGTGGGCTGAGATCACGCCATTGCACTCCAGCCTGGGCAAAAAGAGCGAAACTCCGCCTCAAAAAAAGAAAGAAAGATGAATAATATCCAATACTACTTTATGTGGCATCTCTCATTTAAGAAATTAAAGTTACTAAGTTTTTTAGAATCCTATTTCTTTATCACTACCCTCTGCTCAATTACAAACTCTTTGGCGTATCATTTGAACTCTCTACTTAAATTCATGTAAAACAGTATATGGGAGGTTTCATGAAGTCTAAAAGAAAATTAAGTCATATTATAAAAGCATCAAAAAAAGTTTCACTAATTTACTGTTTGTGTATTTCAGATTCTCATATATTGGCTTTATCAAAAGTGAGGCACATAAATATTTAAATTTCAAAGTCAAAACACCCTGGGTTTTTGTTAATAATCAAAAGAGAGAGTGCCAGGCTTCTAAATCTCTCTTCTTACACAAATTATGATGAACTTATTTATAGGTATAGGACTGCTGGATCATATGGTAAGTGTATGTGAAACTCAAAAGCAAACCAGGCTCTTTCTGATCTACTACTTCTTCATCCACCACATATTGCTTTTGGTCCTCATGCTTGCTGTTTCTTGGTTATGAGTTTCAGCTTCAGGCATCACTTCCCATGCTACTGTCCAAAACAGAAATAATACGACAAAAACAAAAGTCTTTCTCCTTGTCTTTTTTCTTTTAAATTTTTTTGGTCAAGGATAAAAATTATTCTAAGAAACATCCCAACAAATTTCCCCTTATGTTGGGTTGCCAATGGTTTTTGTACCAATATCTGCTATTCCAATTGTAAGCTTTTCAAAGAATGAGATCAAAGCCTAACCTGATGTTTAAAAAACAGGGTAAGTTTCAAAAGCAGTATCACACCCAGGGTAAGTATTTAGCAAACATCAAGCAAAAATGGTATCTGTGTGCTCATGTGCACACATGAGTATGTGTTTATAAAACTATCAAAAACTATAGGACAAATTAAAAGACACTGTAGGACAATTTAAGTACCAATACAAGGCTTGAAATGCATTTAAGCTAAAACAAAACAAAACAAAACAAAACAAAAGGCCAGGTGCAGTAACTCATATCTGTAATCCCAGTGCGTTGGGAGGCCACAGTGGGAGAATCACTTGAGCCCAGGAGTTCAAGACCAGCCTGGGCAACAAAACGAGATCCTGTCTCTACAAAATAAAAATAAAAATCGGCCAGGCAAGGTGGTGCATGCCTATGGAACCAGCTACTGAGGAGGCAGAACTGGGAGGACTGTTTGAGCCCAGGAGTTCAAGGTTGCAGTGAGCTATGATAGTGCCACTGCACCACTTCAGTATGACCCTGTCACCAAAATAAATAAATA